GTTGAGGGGCTTTCACCCAGCCCCTAGAGCCTGGCACTTTGAACTTGGACTTAAAGCCTCCAAATTGTAAGAATAAACTCCTGTTTGTTAAGGCCATCCAATTTGTGGTATATTTTTTGTCAGAGCGGCACTCGATAACCAGAACAACCTGAATACAAAAGAAAAAATGGAAATACATCCTTTACTGAACCATTTTATGTGACATTACTTAAATATCAAGATTTAATTGTATTTCCAAATACTAAGTTTCTGATATAGTAAGTAAATATCTTCTATAATATTAACTATCATCCTCTAAATACCTTAGAGATAGCAGTTAAAAACTGCTTAGTTAAGGATGGCTTTAGTTATATGCAGATTTTAACAACCATAAAAGCTATTTTATGGCAGTTATAACAGTGTTTGACTGCAGTGCAGGATTTAATTTCACATCTCTGAATAAAAAGCCTTCAGAAAAGAATTGCTTTTATATTTTCTGCCATTCTATTAAAGCAAAATATTAAGATATGCAATTCTGGTGGTGTAGTGCCTAAGGCATTTGACTGCTAACCAAAAGGCTAGCGGTTCAAATCCACAGCCACTCCTTGGAAGGAAGGTTGGGCAATCTACTTCTGTAGTGATACTGCCTCGAAAAGCCAAGGAGGGGTCGCTATGAGTCGAGTATGACTCGACAGCACATAACAACAACAACAACAATTTTTAAAAATTATGTTTATGAATTAAAATATAATAAACATGTTTTATAATTTGACATGACAGGATTTTTCAGATATGGTCTTCTTAAAATATACATATAGTATCTGGTCTGAAGAACTATGACTAAAGCACATGCAGACATTATATTGAAACTCAGAATGACATATAACTTTAAGTTCTAAAAAATAAAAAATAATGAACATTAGAGGTGAGAAATCTTTTAGCAAACCCAAGATCGTACAATTTGGATGTAAATTGTATAAAATTTGGATGTCTCATATATAAAATTCAACATCTTATATAGCCTCCATTGGAGCAAATTAAAATTCCAGTTACAAACCCAGCTACAACCTAGTAAGAAACAACAATTTCAGTCTGGAGACTTCTCCATGGATTTCAGTACTGTTCAGTTGAGTTCAGTATTTAAAACATACTATAATTTTTAACTGTCATTCATAACAGTTGCCCATATAATCTATGTTTTTGACATTCCTATGGTCCTGTAATGAGGGAGACCCTAACCAGGATAGATTGACGCAGTGGCTGCAACACTGGGCTCAGACACTGATCGATGATTGTGAGGATGGCACAGGACCTGGCAGGGTTTTGTTCTGTTGTCCATAGGGTCGCTATGAGTCAAAACTGATTTGTCAGCACCTAACAACAGCAGACTCTGTTAGATAAATGCAGACACTAAAGAAAACACATAAAATAGTATCTGGGTCAGGTAATAGAAAAGTAGACAGTTATTGAGCAATTATTTTCTTTATGAAGAAGTCCTTGTGGCAGGATTGTTAAAGCATTCATCTGCTAACCAAAAGACTGGCAGTTCAAAGATGTGGCAGTCTGCTTCTGTAAAGATTTAAAGCCTTGAAAATCCTACAGGACAGCTTTACTCTGACTTGTGGAGTTGCTATGAGTTGGAATTGATTCAGTGGCAGTGGGTTGGGTTGGGTTGGGTTTATTTTGTTTACAGTGAAGGAGGAGATATATGAAAAATATATTTAGAAGAATCAAATGCTATGGCTGAAATAGGAAGTAGATGATGTACATAGTTATACAGCAGCATGTCAGTGATCTCAGAAAGACCCACTCTGAGGAAAATCAGTTTTGAGGACTGACTTCAGTGGAAAAGCCTTGAGGATAAAGTGGATTTTAAATGATCTCTTCAGATAAATGGTATATATGGGACACAGCAAAGAATACCTAGAGCAAAGACTACTAGGTAGGACTTTGCGATCATATGAGAGTGATTTTCAGTATATTTATCTCATAATTCCATAAACTTCAAAACAAAATCAGAGAACAAATCCTTAAGATTCTGTTCCTTCAGAACTACCCCTGGTAGCCTATTTAACATGAGAGCATTTTAAAAGACATTTTAGGCTCTTTAATAGCAAATTCACATTGCAAACTGGTTGGTATTTGAAAAAACCACACTCTAGTAGCTATGTGAAGAATGTAATGAATTAGTGAGAGGTTAAAGACAGTTTCAGTAAGTCAGGCATGAAATGAGATAGTGAGGCACTGCTCACTGCCCTCCAGTCAGATGTGACCCTTCCTTGCATTTCCCTTTCCCAGGCCGTATCTCTACAGAAGTAGGTTGCTCAACCTTCCTTCCAAGGAGTGGCTGGTGGGTTTGAACTGCCAGGCTTCTGGTTAGCAGACAAATGCATTAGGTACTATGCTACCAGAGCTCCAATTTTTCCATAGAACAGGAAAAATATTAGAGTGCATGACATTTTAGTAAAAGTGAGTAGCATTTGATGACACTTTTCTTTCACTTGTGTGTGGGCAGAGGGGTTGCAATATAAAAAGTATTTCTTATGCGTCTGAGAAACACTGAAGTGATCAGTAGCTTAACCCTCATGAGGAAAGTATTCCAGAGAACAATTAACCATTCAAGAACAAAAGGGCAGCATTTGCCCCAAAACCAAGCTCTGAAGGTAGGAAAGGGCAGGAAATACAGGGAACTCAGGGAGGAAGTAGGAAGAGTGCTGTTATATTGAGGAAATTACAACTAATGTTAAGAAACAAAATGTGTATACATTGTTGTATAGTTAGTAGGAAACTAATCTACTCTGTGAACTTTCCAAACCACAAGTTACAAAAAAGAAGAATCAACAGAATCAAGTGATCAAATTGGATTTGATGAGGGCAGAGAAAGAGGATGAGGAAAATGTTAAGGTGAAAAAGTGAAAAATAACATTAATTACTTTAAAATATATAACCAAGAGATTTCAATCTCAGAGACAAATTGTGAAAATGTAGCTGATGTAGAATGTGTCTTACCATAATATTTTTCAAGTAAGTTAAAAAATATATCATATTGGAAACATTTCCTAAGGAAAATTTTAAGAGAGATCCTTTCTAGCAGTGGTAGAAGTTACCCTAAATATTTATCCACTTAAAATCTCTGAAGGCTTCGAGTTATTGAAGTTCCTTAAAAGCCAACTAACTGAGAAGATAATGCTTCTTCAAATGCACTTGCCATGGATATTCTCTGACTGTTTCTCTTTTGGGGTAGATATGACCATCTTTCTAACATGCTGACCAAGATCTTAGATGAGCGTCCTGAAAATGCTGTTGAAATCATTGAAAATATTAGCCAAGATGTGAAGATGGCACATTTTAGTAAAAAATTAGATACACTGCAAAATGAGAATGAAATGCTCCCAACATATGAAATAGCAGAGAAGCAGAAGGCTCTTTTTCTTCAGGGAAGTTTGGAAGGAGCTGACCAAGATCTGGAAGATGAAATAGTAAGTTACTCTGTAAAACTGAATACTTCAAATTTGGGGTTTTACATTCATACTGTCTTTTATAGCTTCCTAGTTACAGTTCGTACTCTGCTACTAACTGTGAGTTTGGCAGATGGAATTGATTCAGTGATGCTGTGGAAGAAAGGACTGGTGATTTACTTCCTTAAGATTGCCGATATTGAAATCTCTACAGAACACAGTTCTGCTTTGAAACATGTGGGGTCGCTATGAGTGAGAACTGACTCAACAGCAATAGGTTTGATTTTTGGAAATAGTATTTGCATTTTATTTTTATTACATGTCTCAAGCTTTTCCAGTCAACCTCATTTCATAGCACTCATTCTTCGGTTGTGTTGTTGTTGTTTGCTGTCGAGTCGGAGCTGACTCATAGTGACCCCTCCTTGGGTTTCTGAGGCTTTTTAATTTTTTGCATCGTATTTTAGTAACTCACAGGCCTTACTTTTTTCTTGTATGACTGTGGGGCTAAGCGCCTTGATATCAGAGAAAATGGTTTCTTTGTGTTTCAATCTCCAACATGCTTTGTACACATCTAGGCTTATAGCCTTTCTTATTAAACATTTTCTATATGAATGAATGCATGTCATATATTTTCAAATTAGGTTTTACATCAAGTTGCATATTTTTCCTTTTAATTTACTAGAAAAATTAGAAGTACTCCGAACATCATTTGCACCCTATTCCAAGGTGAGCTACTCATATTATGTTTTGATAGTATTTGTATTATGTCTTCATATTGTTCTTGATAATTACGCATATTATATCAATGGACTATAATGCCAGAGGAGACAGATAACTATTTATTTTAATCTCTATAGGAAAATTATTGAAAACATTTATAATCAGAGAAAGTTATTGACAGAGAATAAAAGTTATAATTAGAGGACAGAATCTGTTAAATCACAGAAATCTTAGATCCCAAATGCCTTGTTTGTTTGTAATTTATATATATTGACTGAGCTTTCTTTCTTTGTTACCATTAGACTGTTTAAAATCTGCCTCTACACCTGCAAATTTGATGTTTGGGATAAGATGTTGTCAGAAAAAGGCTTACAGTTGATCAGAGAAAAGATAGGAGCAGGTAACCAGACAGTAGGTGAACCCTTTAGGGCTTGGTAGTTTTGGGGGGAGACCCAACTTGATGCAGTGGGATCCAGAGTACTTAGAGCAGACAGGTGACAGGTGTCAAGGAGTTGACATTATTGGGCTGCTTCAAGAAGATGTCATTTTGTTATGTACCCATTTACAGTGATGATGAGGCTAGGAGCAAACAGCATGTGAGGATCAGCCAGATAGGCAGACAGACTCCTGGAGGAATTAATCAAAGAAAGGTCAGGTGCCAGCATAAGAATGGGGCAGTGGGCTATCTGCAAAGCATAGCATTCACTGTGGGTAGGGATCTGTGTCCTAAAGCTAGTTATAGAGTGAGAATACAAATAAACACTTTTGATCCTGAAGCTTCTGCCTGTTAACTGGATTCCATAAATTCTTCCTCAGAAGGAAGATTGACAGTCCACTTCCGTAGTGATACTGCCTCAGAAACCCAAGAAGGGGTTGCTATGAGTCAGATCTGACTTGATGGCACTGAGGTTTTTTTTTTTTTTTTTGTTTATAAATTCTTCCTAATAAAAGATAGGATTGACTTTAGAGCCTGAGAGATCTGAATCATCAGGAGAGGATAAAAACTGCACCTCTAGAATCTGCAAAACACTGCATAATGTGGATGAACTTGGAGAACATTATGCTGAATGAAATAAGTCAATCACAAATGGACAAATATTGTATTAGTCCGTTATTGTAAAAGTTAAGGAAAGGTTTATCTATAGAAGGAAATTTTCTTTGTTGGTTACCAGGAGTGGGAGGGGAGGGAAGGGAAAGCTGTTAGATAGATAGAAGTTAAGTATTGATTTGGGTGAAGAGAAGGGCAGTGTACCAAATGTGAGTGACCAATATGGCAGCATTGAGGAAGAGAAAGACATAGAGAGGTACATGGGAGGTACAGACAACAAAGATGAACCCTTTTGCACATACAGTACTGTGTTGTCAGTGAAGGCAAACATGGGTATATGGGTGGATAGATGTGTGGACAGGCTGAACTATTAGGTATGTCTATGAAATGGGGAGTGTATCCAAGAATATGTATAAGGTTGGCAGACAATGGTCCTATAAGTTTATGTGAATGATCAGAATTACCAGGTGTATAGTACAGCTGAGAAGGGGTAAGGTTGTGGTCACTGCTTGGTCACAGCCAGCCACCCAAAGGGACTAAGTAGTTGAACCTGTGGGCTTGGGACCATAGTCACGGGACATTAAGCTCAATTGGCATAATATACTATACAAAACATTGTTCCACTTCCTACTGTAGTGAGTAGCGACTGGGATCTTAAAAGCTAGCAAACTGCCATCTAGATGCAACAATGGGTCTCTCCTCATCCAGAGCAAAGAAGAATGAAGAAAACCAAAATTCATGAAAACAGTTAATCCTACTGACTGGTACACCATCTGATCTGCAGCCTATACGACTATGAGACCAGAAGAACTAGATGGTGTCCAGCTACCACTGTCATCCACTTGGAAGGGGATCTGTGTAGGAGATCCTTGATACAGAGGGAGAACAATGTGGAACAAAACTCAAAATCATTTGGAGAAAAAAAAAGGGGGGGACCAGAACCTGATGGAACCACTGAGACTATGGCCCCAGCTGTCCTTCAGGTCTGGAATGGAACCCACACCTGTGGTTTCCAGCCAAACAAAAGACAGGCATATGAGTTGAACATTTACCTGAGGTAGATATACTTCTTGGAGAGAACAATCATGGAAGAAAGAAGGGCTGTTTATGCACAGGGAGACAGCTCAGGGAGCAGGAGTGCATGGAGGGATGGACACTGGGAAGAGGTAACTATGGGGAGGAAGGGGAAAGGGAGCTATTGCATTGTGGTAAACTGTGGTCAATGTCATGAGACAAAGTGTATGTGAACTGCTGTGTGGAAAGTGAATTTGCTCTGTAAATCTTCACCCAAATCACAATTAAAAAAAAAAAAAAACTACACCTCAGAGAGAGGAAGGATGCAGGCACAAGAAGACAGGCAGGTATTGGAAGCACTGAAATATGAGCTATGTGATCAACTCTGCCCTGGATTTAGATGTTTAGAATGTTCATGTCTCTATTCTCGTCTTTGACCACAGCAGAATTCCGCACTTAGTCTTCAACATTCATTTACTCATTCACTCATTGTGACTACCTATTTCCTGATAGGTACTAAGATACATGTGAAAAAGACTTTTGTGATCTTAAAACCCATTGCCATTGAATTGGTTACAACTCATACACTATATAGGTTAGAGTAGAATTGTCCCATAGGGTTTCCAAGGCTGTAAATCTTTACAGAAGTAGACTGCCTCACCTTTCTTCCATAGAGTGGCTGGTGGGTTTGAACTGCTGACCTTTTGGTTAGCAGCTGAATGCCTTAGCCACTGTACCATCAGAGCACCTTTTTCAGACCATAAGTTGCCCACAATTTAGGGAAAGAAGCTGTGAAGTAGTTGTAAATCAATTTTATTAGTGCAGTGATAGAGATGGCTTCATATGTGGAAAGAACACAGCCTTTGGAGTTAGACCTAAGTTAGAATCCTAGCTCAGTCACTTACTACATGCATGACTTTGAGCAAGTGAGTAAACCTTCCCAAACCTCAAGGATGATCACAAATCACCAACCTGAGAGAGGGAGAGAGGGAGAAAAAGAGGTAAAGGGAGGGAAAAGAGGCTCATACATGCTAAGAACTTCATAAATAGTAACAATTGTTATGGTTTTACAACAGCTATGAAATTGAACAGAGCAATTAACTCAGCTATTTGGGATTGAGAAAGGTTTGTATTGGAGGTGATATTTCATTTAGGTCGTAAAGGATAAGTAGAAGTTCACTAGGTGAAGACTCTAGAAAATAATATTCTAGGCAAAGGGATCAATAAAAAGTTGGGACATACTATTTAATGTTTGAAAACCTGAAGCAAGAGTTTGTGGGAGTGAGTGACAGAAATGAAGCAAACAGGATGATAATAGCCAGGCTCTGGTAGCATAGTGCCTAAGGCACTTGACTGCCAACCAGAAGGCTAGCGGTTCAAACCCACCAGCCACTCCTTGGAAAGACGATTGGGCAATCTACTTCCCTAAAGATACTGCCTGGGAAACCCAAGGAGGGGCCGCTATGAGTCGGGTCTGACTCGACAGCACACAACAAGAACAACAGCTCTCTGTGCATTAAGAAGAAATTTCTTTCTTGTATACAATGGGAAGCCAAGAGGGGTTTTTAATAGAGAATAATGTGGTCTGACTTTGGATTTAGAAAGATAACTCTGGTAGTAACATGGAGGAGAATGAAAGAAGAAAAGTTAGAATAGGAGTCAGGAGAGTATTAGAAGGATTTTTTAACAGAATGGTCAGTAAGGATGGGGGCTAAGGAGGTAGGAGTGAGTTGGAGAGGAGAGGATGAGGCCAAGATTTTTCAGTAGTTGAACCAATAGGAGGAGCCCCAGTGGTGGTTGAAAGAGCTTGGCTGTTAACCAAAAGGCAGTTCAAAACCACCAGTGGCGTTGCAGAAGATGCGGCATTCTGCTTCTGTAGATTTAAAGTCTGTGGGGCAGATCTACTGTGTCTTATAGGGTCACTATGAGTTGGAATTGACTTGATGGCAGTGGGCTTGGTTGCTTTGCTTGGAACCAATAGAACTGCAACTAATTACATATGAAAGGTCAGGGGAGTCAAAGGAAGCAAAGATGATCGGATTTTCTAGGTTTGGGAAACTCGAATGAATAGTGATTGGCAAAAAAATAAATAAATAAAGTATCTACAGAAAAGACTTTGAGAGAAATATGAGTTCAGTATTAATTCACAGTATCTGTAAAATATTGAGATTGAAATTTCTCATATGTAGCTGAAAATAAGGAGCTCTGGTAGCATAGTGCCTAAGGCACTTGACTGCTAACCAGAAGGCTGGCAGTTCAAACCCACCAGCCACTCCTCGGAAGGAAGGTTGGGCATTCCTACTTCCGTAGTGATACTGCCTCGGAAACCCAAAGAGGGGTCGCTATGAGTCGGGGCCGACTCGATAGCAAATAACAACAACAACAACAACAGCTGAAAATAAAGGTGGGGAAAATGGGAGAAAAAAATCAGAATTGAAAAGGGAAACTTTTCAAAGCTACGTATCACTGAAGTACTATGGGAGAAATCTTCGAAGCATAAGGTACTGAGAGATGAGATGTTTGAAAAGGAAATTTTGGGGAAAACAACATTCAAGAGGCAATTAAGAAGAAAGGAATCACTATAGATATATATATATATATAGACAAAATCAGTGAAAATCAGTTGCCACTGAGTCATTTCTGACTCATGGCTACCTCATGTGTTAGAGTAGAGTTGTCATCCATAGAGTTTTCAATGACTGCTTTTTTGGAAGTAGATCACCAGGCCTTTCTTCCAAGGTGCTTTGGGTAGACTCAAACCACCACCTTTCTGTTAGTAGCCAAGCATGTTAACCTTTTGTACACTCAAGGACTTAATAGATACAGACATAGATATATCATGAGTTTGTGTGGGTGTGTATGTTTATATGTATGTATTCCTACAAATATGCTCAGAAGTCCATACATGGAAGTTAAATATTTTTTAATAAAAAGGGGGTTTTGAACAGTTATTGGTAATCAACCAAAAAAACCAAACTTACTGCCGTGGAGTCGGACCCAACT